GATCGACGAGGAAGCGCAGCGAAAGCCATCCGGCTTTTCTTATTAACTTCGAATTTTTTTCGCAAAGTGCCGCGAGACCGCGAGATCTTCCTGGAATACCAATGAGCAGCTAGCATAATGCAAGACGGCAAACGAGAAAGGTACGAATCGAGTAACTCAAGGGTGACCAACCTTGGAGGGGTGAGTCTACGGCGGCGCTTAAGAGTTTTAGAGGGTTGGGCGAGGAACAAGATGACGAGAAGCTTCGGACCAAACGACAAACCGTACTAGCTGTTGCAGGATGATCGATCGAGGAGAGAGAGAGAGAGAGTCTCGTCATTCCTGTCAATTAAGCTCCCGGTGGTGTCAGTCGAGGTTCGAGAACTTCGGATGGAATCTAATTCACTGGTGTCTTCCGATTCCGAATCGGTTGATTGCTCGCCATCGACCTGTTGGGATTTAGGCTGTACGTGGCTGAACGAGCGACTGGTTAACCGATTAACGCGATATTTCATTTGCAATTTCCCACCGAGTCCCATTTGACACTGTATGTCAGAAGCTATCTTAATTTTACCCGATTTACCGGAATTTTGAATTTGATTTATTCGTAACTTCGTCGCACAATTTCGTGTAACTTTATATTCTTAGAAAGATAGTTGAATATTACATTGCGTACATTTGTGAATCTCCAAATTTTTCTACAAAAATGTATAAAAAAAATTGATCTCCATCAGGAGAAAGTGTAAAATACAAAAATGAAATTGAATACCTTAAATTGTTCCAACATACCGGTTGAGGATTGAAAGAAGATTTCATTGTAATAATAAATAATGACACACGAGTTATTTTCTGGCTAGTAACGAAAAACAGATTTTTATTTATTAACGTTGGAAAGAAAAATATTGAAAATAAAATTCGATGAAAATTCAATGAAAAGTTCGCAGGGGAAGAAATAAAAAGAAGTAAATGTACTCGTTCTGTTCACAAGGAACATCGTTACACGATGATATAAATATAAACTTATTGGAAATAAAAAGTATCAGGCGTCCTGTGATACGATGATTAAAACTTTGAAAGCCGAGGGATATAGTTTCGTTCCAAGAGACGAGTTAATTAGACTTCTAACATAAAAATCAATCGTCGAACATGCAGATGCTAGCATACCTCATCATGTTCGAGTGAATAAACGACGCGTACATAATAACGAGAAGCGCGTTCTAATCGAGGCTGTCGCGCGATATATCGAGGACACGGAGGAAGAGCATAAGAGAAGCGACAGGGTGAATGTTGGACAACGTTTGTACGATAGGGAAGACGATAGTGTAAGAGTCCAAGAGCCGATAGGGGTGACGTAGATAGTGGGTGGGTGGCCCCGCCAATATGCCGTCGTCCATACATCACGCGGGGGCGACCCGACAAACTGGGGAAACCTGACCAGAAATATGATGTCATTTATATGGTAATACATCGGAATCCCGTCATTTAGATACTTCGATGATTAATGCCTCCGACAAGACAGCGCCAGCTGCTTCCTTCGCTTCTCCGATTCGGACTATTTTCTTTTCCCAGCGCTGCTCTCTCTCTCTCTCTCTCTCTCTCTTTCGAGCGACAAATCTGAACGCCCCCGGGTAAAATGTAGCCGGTCACTAGGTCACGCGTGAACATTTGGCGACACTATTATTGGGGAGAAAGAGTTGGATACATAAATTTGGAACTTTGTCGCTTCT